GGAAGTCAGGAGGAAAAACCATGCAGAGAGAGAGCGTTGAACAAGAAAAGCAAAAGTGAACCAGGTAGAGGGAGCAGAATCCAGAATAATGGGTCGTCAACGTCTATAAAAATGGGTGAAAAGTTAGCGGTGAAGAGGGGAGCAAGAAACTGGACTGATCTGGCTACTCACCTCTGTTACCCTATCTGTTCCATCGCGACTACTCAACTCGTTGAAATGTCCTTCCAACCTTTCCTTGCTTGCTACGACTCGGTGGTTGAAGAGAAGAAGAGCAGAACGTACGACACGGAAATTACCACCCGGAAGAAAATTATTGACTAAATATATGGGTAATTTCCGTGTCGTACGTTCTGCTCTCTTCTCTTCAACCACCGAGTCGTAGCAAGCAAGGAAAGGTTGGAAGGACATTTCAACGAGTCGAGTAGTCGCGATGGAACAGATAGGGTAACAGAGGTGAGTAGCCAGATCAGTCCAGTTTCTTGCTCCCCTCTTCACCGCTAACTTTTCGCCCATTTTTATAGACGTCGACGACCCATTATCCTGGATTCTGCTCCCTCTACCTGGTTCACTTTCGCTTTTCTTGTTCGACGCTCTCTCTCTGCACGGTTTTTCCTCCTGATTTCCTTCCTCGCCATTCCTCATGTTCTTTCGTCGACTTCGGTATTCTCCTCGCAATTTCCTCACGTTTCGATTTCCCGTTACGCTCATGGCCATCAATCTCTCCATCATACCGGACATCATCAAACTCATATCCGCCAAATTGCATTCGACCTAATTTGTGTCCAGTTCGCGTCGGTTGTTCGTTAATTGCTCATAACCGCCTGGTCTCCTGTCGGTCTCCTAGCTCTTCTAATATCCGCTGTTTACTCCTACCGGTCATTATTCATCTTTCATAACCGTGTGCCTTTCATTCTTTCATCATAACTCGTTGTTGGGAATGCATCAATATCCGGAGTTTCTCCAATCAAATATCCGCCAGCTTTCCGACTTTGGAGTGTTCCACTCCTTTCTCTCCTAATTTTCTTATCTTTGTACAGCGTTACTAACTTTTGCCTAGACCTCCCTCCTTTTACTCCTTTGATTTGTTCCTTCCGACGATACTGACACTCTCCTGACTGCTCCTAACTGATCAATCTTACTCAGATTTTCGAATTCCGTCATACTCAATTTCGTCGGCGGCCTCCGTTTTGCTCGAATAACCACTCGTTCTCGGCTTTAGGTCTTCGTTAGGGGTTCGATGTCACAGTTTGAGCCTGGGCGACTGGGCTCGCTGTAACATGCTCTTGATCTCATATCGCATTTTTACGTGATTAATTTTTGAAAACCCTTCACATTCGGTTCGTGCCTTGTTTCATGTACATTGCTTAATAAGTTATCCAATATATTATGAATATTTCTTGAATATCCTTAAGCGCGGAAGTGAATGAATTGAGTTCGGAAAAAGAAAAATTACAATATAGTTGTCGGATCATGAAACATGAGGTTCCAAGCCGCAACATGTGTAACTAAGAGAAGTCTTCGGGCCAACATTCTGTCAGGGATCGGCCCCTCCCCCGCTGTCAGGGCACCCAACCTATCCGCGATGAGTCCATTGCATACGGTCTCTCAAGGGAGAACTGTTGGTTCTTTGTGTCGATCATTCAAGAAGTTTCCGTCCTATTTCTTGGTGGGAATTTTGATGGTGAGGGGAGATTAAGCAATCCTTCGTTGGGTCGCAGCCGCCGCAGGGCGATCAAAGAGAGAGTTTATAAGATTCTTCCTACACGGGTGCCAACCCTGGTGACGGATGTGGGATCTATGGCTGCCATGACACACGATAAACTCCTCATTGGTGCCATTTCCCAATTGGTGCAGGCTGTCGAAGCCCAAGATGTTCGTATACCTCGTTCTAGCCTTTTCCCTGTCTCACGCTGCGATTCTAGAGACTCCTCCTTTGTTCCAGTCTCGATGAAGCACGACGGCGGCATGGACGCCAACCATCCATGATACAACTACTGTCTGAATGCAAGATGGCTCTTTACGAGCATCTCCATAGACTAAGTAACGTTCCTGGAGCAAGGGGATTCCGAAGTGGTTTCTCAAGGTCACTATTTCACTCTCAGCTATGTACCAATACAAACTCTGAATGGGGAACATAGGGATCTTGCCAATAGGTTGAATTCATGGGTGTCCTCTGTGGGTGGCGGCGCCCGAGTATCTGAACGTATTCTGGATCAAAATCAGATGGACAAACTAGACGCAGAAGTTTCGATTCTTTTTTCGGGGGCGGTGAGTATCGAATAGCGAGGTTGTGGTGTCGCCTCTCACAGTCGGACTAGTTTGAGAAAGCTGTGCGCGTGGAAGGGAATGTGAGCGCCACTCCGCTCAAACTGCAGTGGAAGGGACACACATCTTCAAGCTCAACTGACCTGGATCTGGCTCTCTGGACCTTTCGCATTGCAAATCTCTCCTAGGACTTTTTGGGAAACACTGGCACCGCCTGAAGGAAGACATCCCGGACCTTCAGGCGCTCTTCGACAGCGCAATACCACCGAAAGCGACGTTCGCGTGTAAGAGCTGGATTTCGCTTGTCTGTCGAGTCGGTCCTGCAGATTCAGGAGTAGCTGGGGCAATTGAACAAGTCGTATACCAATGGCTTCCGTACTGGGTCGTAGCAATGGGGATTATGGATGAGATAGACGCTGCATGCCGCGGCCTGCACCAGCTGGAGCAATGGATGGTACGTGCCACTTTTTCCCTTGGTCTTGACTACTTACAACGGCCCTGTCGCACAGCGGGGGCATGACAAATTGGAAAGTCTTCGGTTGCATGTTCTCAAGATGTACCACTTCGTTCTCCGTTCGAAACAGGCGCTTGTCCAATGCCCATTCCTCGTCTTTCCACCACACCATCCACCGATTCTTCATCATTTCCTTCTGCCTCCTTGTACAACGCTCTCGTCATCAAACCGCTTGGGAATGCCCACGAATCGTGGAGCTGTGTGCCTCTAAAACTTCAAGGCCATCCACACCCCGTTTGTTCCTTGGCCTACTCATCAGACGGTACCTACGTGGCATCAGCCTTCAGAAGTAAATGCGTTTGGGTATGGAACGCGAACACTGGAACCAAAGTCTCGAAGGTGGACTTGCTCTCCGACTGCGTTTATGTCACATTTTGTCCAGATAGTTCGCAACTTGGGTGTGCATGCGAGAATGGCTCAATCTACATTTGTAATGCTGACAGTTCTGGGAAGCCCAAACGCCTTTCCGGCCATTCCAAGCGCGTAAACTCCATTGCATTTACTTCGTACGGGACGCGCCTCGCGTCAGCGTCAGGGGACTCAACCATTCGTATTTGGGATGCCTCTGATGGCTCAAACATTCGTATTCTCGAAGACCACACCGACATTGTGGTCTCTGTAACGTATTCACCAGATGGAACATCGTTGGCATCTGCATCGTACGATGGGACCGTCCAAGTTTGGGACGCCGCATCCGGAACCCTAATCCGTCAATTTAACGTGGGGTGCCTCATGTTCTGTCTCACCTTCCATCCTGACAACGAAAGGGTGATCGTGGCGTGCAAGGATAGCAAAGTTCGCATCCTAAACGTATTCGATGATAACGCATCACTGGCCCTTGAAAATCACTTTGATGCAGTGTACTCCGTATCCTGCTCGGGGACGGCAAATGGATTGCATCCGCTTCGGCAGATTCGACCATTTCCCTGTGGCATGCTGATGGGACAAGGTGGATTCATGCTCGTACCCTTGTTAGCCACACCAATAGAGTATACACAGTAGCGTTTTCTCCGGACGGGACGAGAGTGGCTTCGGGTTCGCGTGACCGTTCGATCCGCATATGGGATACGGACGACTTTATCCACGATGGGAGAACCTATGATCCGTTTACAATTGCATCCAACGCGCGACTGTCAGTAGTCGTAAACGACGACTGGACTGTCGGAATCCGGAATCGGAAGTTAAACCGGCGTCCCGTCGTGTTGGGCGGGCACACTGATGTTATCACATGTGTCTGCCTCTCTGCTGACAATACGGAGGTTGTTTCGGCTGGCCGAGATCTTTCCATTCGGGTCTGGGACTTGTTGTCCAGGGAATGCTTGCAAATAATAGACATCACCGAGATTGAGAGCCTCAAATCTGATCAGATGAAGCCTCAAGCACCTTACCACATATCCTATTCTCAAGATGGCCTTACACTCAGGATTCGTGGTTGGAAGACCTCGGAGGATTCCGAGGGGCCTTTCACCGTATACTTGGACGCAAGCACATGGACAGAAATTTCGACTTCTCCTTCAGAAGCAGAGTTCTCCAGCACGTATATGCCGGATCCTTCACTCCCTATCATTCTTGAGCGCAACTGTTTATGCACGCGACGCGGGAAGGAATCGGCATATCTCTATTGGCTTCCGGATGATTTCGAGCCGATTTCCGAGGTGATCCAAGCAGGAAGGAGAGTCGTAGTCGGAGGGAAGGACGGGGAAGTCATTTATGTCAACTTCGAGCAGTTCGATATCGCCATCCTCTGATGACATCCGGGCGTTTGGAGCCGTACGCTTTTGTGCAGCATTTTTGGGTTTACGTCAAGGGGATCCATCATCACTATACTTAAGCTTGCTATTAGCCTCCGCACCGGGCCGGAGATCACGGTTAACGATCGCAAAGCAGACGAGTACAAATCATCCGAGAGGGGGAGAGTATCAAGATTGGGGAATGGCAAATTCGGGTCTGTCCATTGTAAGGTACAGTGGGGAATGTGTGGCAGCAAGAGACGAGACATCAGAATGTACCAGAGACACGTGAAGAACGTAAATTTCAAATGACGCAACGCAACGCCCATCGCTTTGGAATCAAAGGGGCCACCGAAGATCAGTCGGCGGGCATGCTTAAAAGATGCACTCGCAGATTTCTGTGGGATATAGTCACGGTGAACCATCGGATCACCGATGCCGAGCAGACACACGTTACCTTCCGCGCAACAGCATAGGCCTTCATCGAACAGTTACACCATCAGAATATTCACACGTCGGGCCACACGGCACTTACATATACCAGCGAGGCTATACATACGATAAGTTAACACGCACCACGACTTGCGTCGAGTCTTACTTACCAAGCCATACATGTCCCGTCGTTAGTCGATTTCTGATAAGTGGGGGCTTAGAATCGACATAAGCCGGCCTTCTATACGACTAACCTGAGGCGGCCCCTGTACGTAAACTGTTTGTGGCTGAGGCTAACAATGATTATATTAAGTCAGTGTCTTGCAACACGCAAAAAATGCGCACTTGAGGTTGGTAAGGACCGGGCTGATAAGCCTGCGGTGGTTGCTGTGGGTAGTATCCCTAATCGAAACGTCTGAGCTATCCAAACGATAGACCGAGGTGCGATCGCAGAAAGGAGACATACGCCTTGTGGTGGTGGCCCTATTAATCAATTCTGTTCAAGATCGTGGCCTTGAGATGCAGGAAATGGTGCTCACCTTGGGGAGGATAGTATTGCCCTGGTGGTGGTCCTGGAGGGGTGTTGTCTAGAAAGCCAGGATGTCAACAAGTAGAAGTGAGACAACGTGCTAATCCGTACAAGGTCCTGAACCGCCCTGCTGATAGTACTTCGAGAGGGTAGTTAGTAGCTAGTCCAAACTCTCAGGAGCGTCTCATACATCTTTGTTAGACATGTCTGGACGTGAAAGTGCCGAGTAGTGGTGGTGCGAAAGAAAGATGGAAACGAAGCTACGGCAGACTGCGGAATATTTTTGCCTTGAGTCTCCGTAGCCTCGTGTTCTGGATTACTTAAGTACCGCAGCAGCAGCATTCCCTCATTCTGATGCTGTGTCCCTCATGTTATCCCCTATCACACTCACATAAGTTTTTGCATATATTCCTGGCTTGGCTTACACTTAGACCAATCACAGCTTTCATGAGCAACCGAACTCGATTTGGAAACAGCGCGGGAACTGCCGGAGACGGGTCGTCCTCTCTACATCTCGAAGAACCTCCCTCATGTAAGTCTCAAAATGACACGCTTGGCGAATGGACGCTGGTTTAATCCGGAAATGATTGCGGCGGCTAACCATTCTCTTTTAATTCACAGATCAAATTCAATATGGCTGAACCAGAACCGGCTGCTTCGACTGGGACTGATCCTTTCAATCAGACAGGCGCCAAGGTCGTCATAAAGAATGTCGACATGACTGAAGACATGCAGCAAGCCACCGTCGATATATCCATCGCAGCTCTCGAAAAGTTTGCGATTGAAAAGGATATCGCATCACATATCAAACGCGAGTTCGACACCAAGTACGGGCCAACGTGGCACGTAGTCGTCGGAAAGAACTTTGGGAGTTACGTTACTCATGGTGAGTTGCCATGCTGTTGTCCCGATGGGAGTGTCGCCGTTTTTGACAGCAAACATTTCTTTGATTTGTTTTCTTTCGCAATGAACACGTGTAGAAACCAAGCACTTTATCTACTTCTACGTTGGATCTCACGCGTTCTTGATATGGAAATCTTAGACGGACTCGAACATTGTCCAAAAAGTGAATATCCGCCATTTCTTTCACCGATATTGACCCGAGCTCAAACTCAAACCTTTTACTTCCTCCAGTTTCATATTGCGCTATCTCATTGTTGTTCTCGTACCACCCAACTGCAGTCATTTCCCCCATTGTTGAATCATCTTTGTTGGACTAATTATTGTCATTTTGCTTGGTCGACCGTTCACACTGAATCACTGTTCGATCCGTCTCGGAAACCTAGGCCGGTTAATGTGCTCCAAAAGTCTGCTTTGACAAACTGGTCCTGCTTCTTGAAATTGCCAAGCTTGCCGGGGTTTGAATGCCAAGTGTACAATGGAGAACTCATTTCAACGATGTACATCTTACCAGTCCCTTCCACGAAAAAGGTTTCCAAATGGCTCATAAAATACTCTTCTAAATAGTGAGCATTCACCCCGCTCCAGCAAGAACGGAAGAGAAAAAAAAATACAGTCGGAAGTTGCAAATCTTGGGACTTGTACGCCGAGCATGTTATGCGGCGGTTGAAGTCCCTGGTAGGTCCTATGTCAGCTTCCTGTCAATCTCGATGAAGGCGGGTTCCGGTGTTGAAAACTCATGCTTTCTTCTTTCGCTGGTCGTCGATTTAATTTGGGCGCGCTGGCTTTTGCCGGCGCTGGCAGAGGCGGGAATTCCGAATGCGAGGATGCTCTTGGTCCTTGCGACACCTCCACATAAGGCGGGCCCTGAGCTCGTCGAGTTGTCCGAGACCAAGGTTGATAGATTTATTTGTCTCCCTGCATTCAGGAAATCAAAACCCCGTTCGGAAATTACCGCGTGTGACCTGTGAGTTCTCACTATTGGACGTTGCGTTCCTTGCCAAATGATTTCGAAACTCGCGGTCGCGCGCACCGCGGCTCGCGCAATATCATCGGGGTCCCGTATGGCTAGCACTTCAGCCTCAAGTGCTCCTCGCGGGGTGAGTTTAGGTACCTCTTGGGAAAAAAAAAATTCACCGGCATTTGTTGACTGCCCCGCCGAATTTGCCTCATCTCGGGATTTTTTTCCTGGTCTTCAATTAGACGAGCCGATTGACTTCGAACGCTGTACTTGCGGCTGCTACGGCTGCTACTGTTGGCTCGGTGGCATGGTATACGCATCTATACGGAACCCTGCCTTTCATCGGTGAAGTGAGCGCCAGTTCTCCCGCCGAGGATGGTCTTCATCCTCCAGCCTACCCGTGGAGTCACAATGGCTACCTCGACTCCTTCGACCATGCAAGGTCAGTGTTGATTGGTGGTCTGATTGTGTTTATTAAGGCTTCGATTTCCCACCTTTCGCACGGTCGCAAGGAAAGCTGACTTGTGCTCTTCTTGACCTCCCCAGTATTCGTCGAGGCTTCCAGGTGTACAGGGAGGTTTGTTCTGCATGCCACTCATTAAACCGGATTGCATGGCGCAACCTTGTTGGCTCTTCCCACACTGCGGAAGAGGTTCGGGTACTCGCCGAGGAAGTCGAATATGAGGATGGTCCGAACGATGCTGGGGAGATGTTTACGCGACCTGGAAAGCTCAGTGACTACTTACCTGCGCCGTATCCTAATGAGGAGGCTGCACGAGCTGCGAATGGTGGAGGTCTCCCTCCGGACCTCAGTTTGATAACCAAAGCGAGACATGGTGGTGCTGTGAGTGCAAAGAAATTGATGAAGAGCGTACCCTGGTGGCTGAATATTATATGCAGGACTACGTGTTCTCAATTTTGACTGGATATGCTGATCCTCCAGCTGGTGTGGAAATCCGTGAAGGTCTCAGTTACAACCCTTACTTCCCCGGTGGTGCTATCTCTATGGCCCGTGTCCTCTTCGATGGCGTAGTCGAGTACGAAGATGGTTCGTTGCGTATACGCAATTCTCTTGTCGCATCTTTTTTAACTCCTCACTTACGAACTCCCACTTCTAGGTACTCCTGCAACAGCATCGCAAATGGCTAAAGATGTCGTCACGTTCTTGTCTTGGGCAGGCGAACCAGAACATGACGAGAGAAAGAAGATGGGATTGAAGGCTGTCATTCTCCTCTCCACCTTGTTCGCCCTTAGCATTTACGTGAAGCGCTACAAGTGGACACCTATCAAGAATAGAAAACTCAGTAAGTAACTCGTTTTTGACTGCTCAACATATTGGTGAATTCTCTGCTGACTCGATAATAACCTTCCCCCAGTTTACACTCCACCAAAGGCACCCACGCACTGAGGCACGGGGGTGGTCATTGGCATCGTAGAGATTTCATGTACCGTAGCCAGACCTCTTAAAAATCGATCCATTTATCTATTTTTTTTTCTTTCCATCCTCGAGCCCTGTCGTGTAGTTTGCATTCATGCTTCGGGGTAAGTTACTCATGCCGACGGTACGTAGGTCGATCACGCTTGCGTAATGCCGGGAAATTTTACCGATGGTCACCAACAAGTGGAAATTCTTACCAACAGCAAGTATTCATGTAACACCATTAATGAATTTAACGTTAATCATAACGGTACCCAGTTTGATCCAAGCTCCTATGGTGCGAACGGTAGCCCTTTCATTGGAATTAAGTATAAAGTGCAAAAGTGTCAACGATAGTTGCGAGAAGTTGCCAAAAAAAGTTGAGAAAATATATCAGAAAAACCTGGATTACTTCCATACTGTTAGTAGGATTCCATCAACACCAGGGAAAACCAGTTCTGTTGTATGCAAACGTATTAGTATATTTATCTAGCATGATACGCTAGGTCACCGACTGGAGTCCCGCCTAGTGATTTGGTTCCGGGCGCTTGCGTTCAGCCAAACTTGGGAGTCATTGAGTCAATGCCAGCCAAGGGAAAGCGCCGTGACAATCAACTCTATGCGTACGCTCTGCCAATAATTCCGCAGCCGTCCACGTCTATCCTATCGAAAACCCTCACGGGTGTGCTTGGTCCGTCCTTTGCTAGAGTCTCAGTATTAAATCCCCGATGCATCGGGGTATTTGACATCGGCACTCGTTCCGTCTGGGTGACGAACGCCAAAGATACTGAGGCTTTGTGGCAGCGAGGCTTCTTTGGAAAAGGGAACTTATCTAGAAGTGAGCCCACTTGGCTCAACCGACGAGTGAACCAACTTGCTGGGGTCAGAGGTGAGCAACAGCATCTCAGTCCCCTCCCCCTGATTGTTTTAATGTGGTGATAACGTCGGACAAGTGCTGACTGCTGAGGAGCTGACCGCCAAACGCCGGGAGGAACGCAAAATATTCAAAGCTGAACGCGCTCAAGCCATCTTGACTGCTGCCGCAGAGGCAGAGGCAACTTTCATAGCCGAGGGTCGTCTCCCAACCCCACCCACTGAAAATATCTCAACAACTGTACGGTCAAACCTCGCTACGCAGAAACTCTCTTCACCACCCTCAGAATGGAGACCAGCTGATGCTGCGCCTCTTGCTGAGATGGAAGCCACAAATTCCGTACTGACTGCAGAAAGAAATTTGCCCGATGGATCGGAACTTCCTGAGAACATGGAGCATTTTCAGCTAACCCTCCAGGAGGCATTTTTTCTGATGTGGGGGCTAGATTGTCTTCTGATTCTCGACCCGATGACTGTAAGCTAGTTTATCAGCGTGAACAAGCCTCGGCCCTCAACACTTTTTTTTTCTACCGAGTGAAGGAACGCTACCTAACCGTTGAAGAGACGTGGGATACCTTTCTCTCCGCACACACCTTTCCGATACCAAAATCCATTTCCAAACATAAACGCTGCGACAATCCATTCCTTGTTCACTACGTAGCGTATCATCACTTCCGCTCGCTCGGTTGGGTCGTTAAAAGCGGCATCAAATTCTGTGTCGATTATCTTCTTTACAGACGGGGACCAGTTTTCTCCCATGCTGAGTGGGTAGTTTTGGATTTATTTCAATAGCAATGCATATATCTGATCGATGCCCACAGATTTGCAATGATTCTTTGTCCAACCTACGAAGATCTAAATGATGAAGAAAGTTCGCCCTTTAATCTTCCGAATACTAAGCCATTCTCCTGGGCATGGCTAAGTACCTTAAATCGAGTAAACACTCAAGTCCGAAAGGCAAGTCTTATTAAAATAATCCTTTGAAAGTGGTTTCTTCTCTAATGGCTCGATGACAGTCCATTATGTTGGTTTATATCACAATACCAGCAATGTCCAAATTGTCCATTGCTGCGTTGGATACTCCTGCAGTTCTCAGAGAGTTCACGATCCGTGAGGTCCCTGTCAAACGGTTCGCCCCAGCGAGGATGAGAAATTGACATATGTATATGCTACGATTAAGCCTATGTATCATTCGTGCGGTATCAAAGAATGTGTAAAGTACAAAAAAATTAAGGGCAGAAAAAGGATGCGTGAAAAATTACAATGAAAGGATTCCCTAAGGCTAAGCAGGAGGCTAAAAACCAAAAAGCACCAGATGGCGCAAGTGATACTAAACAGCATCTCTGATCCGAAGTTGAATGAACTTTGTTTCGAGAAGCGCTTTAAGGTTGGCATGCACTTGTCGGCAATCCAGAAGTTTAGCTTCGTCCGACACATCAGCGAACGAGGGTGGGACCCCAATGCGACCACCGAGAGGTCCAGGTCCGGCAGCGACGTCATTCGGCAATTTGGTGTTTATGAAGACTGCTGCATCGCATTCATGGAGGAAATTTACCGCATCTCTGGCAGATTCAAATGCCAGCTCAGATGCTATGAACGGACTCGGTAGTTGCTGATAACTAGGAATGCCAAAGTGAACACAACAGCATGATCGGTGGAGATGCCTTACGCTTTGGTCATGATGGACAAGGCTTTGACTCGTTCTGCCTCTACTATATGATCAAGGATATAGCTTCCCATGTTGTGAGCGTTCAAATAAAGGACAAAAAACTTGTGATAATTATCGGTGGAAATAGCTGTGTGGACGTCAAGTGCTTGCTTAATAAAAACCTGTTGTTTCTGTTGAGGGGTCAGCGATGCGATAAACATATTCAAATCTACTCGGGAGCAAAAAGGTGGAATTTTCAGCAAATCATCCTAAGCGAGGAACGATTCGTACCGGTCTTAGTCCTGGCGCATGTGGAATAGAGGATTCGATAGGCATAGAACTCATCTCTGCAGCCTGGTAGGCCGAGCTCATAAAGTTCTCGCAAACGTGATTCACAGTACTTGAACTCTTTCAGGTCCTCCTGACGAGATATTGGGTAAATGTTGAATCAAAGAATGAAGAAAACCCATACGCTTTCGAGCGCCATTCTAGCATGGATCTCGTATACCTGGACGGTGAATTTGTTTTTTATCCTTTGCACCTAACCAAAACGTCAGTTTTAGACACGCACGTGAAGAGAGATGTTCGAGCAAGGAATCGTACGGTTAGGTCTTGCCGCATGCTTTTGAGCTGATCGCACGTCCAAACGTAGTCAGGTTTCTGACGCCAGCGACGGCTAAGCTCAGCCAATGTCCGTTCAAGCACTTCCAGGGGTCTTATCTGCGCTGGATCGGGTTCCTGCGCAGATCCAGGATCAGCTAAGCAGGTAAACTGATAACCAGGACGCACCGAAGTGATCCGAAGATACGGCTTGAACAACTCAGTGGATCGGCCAACTATTGTATACTTATCCCAGTCTATCACGTTCTAGAGAAATGTCAGATAGATCCGTAGGCGGAAGATAGGATGTGCACAGATTCTCGTACAGAGTCAGGGCCCACATCATCATCATCTCCCAACGGACTTCCTAATAAAGCCTGGCGTCGCGTGTGATAGCCTGAAGCGCCGCCTGGATTGTTACTTGTCGCATCGGTTCTCTTCCGTCTTGAATCTGGTGCATTGATGTGCCGACTGTATTCTGACGAGGAAGGAGGTTTGTACGAGCCTGAATTTTTCTGGGAGTCTACTTCGGGTTCCCGGCGAAATCGCTTCTCCCTTTCCTGGAGTTTCGCAGGAGAACAAATAGGCTGCGAGGTTGCTAATCCGTTCTTGGACTTCTTTGACACGTTGTCATCCGCTCTACAATATCTACGTCATTAAATGCTGCCGTAATAGAAACAAGTGTCCTACCCTCCAGCTTTACGCTTCAAAAATGGCTTGATTTGTGGCTTAAGACTGTGCCGCCTTAAGCTTAAGCCCCACCTGATACACGGATAGATACGAGACTTGCCTTTCCAGCTCTATCGACGCCCAATCCGTCTCCCATAGCGTATTATTAGCGTACGCTTCAGCGATCATTTTTTTGAGTTCTGCGGATGCAGCATCCCGATTAGAATCGTTCATCATCCCTAAACACTTGGAGACCCATTCTCTGGGAGCAAGATTTGCACCAGCGATCAGTGTAGCGACTCGCAACACTCACCGAACGGAAGGTGGCCAATTCCCAGCCGCCGACATATATACTGATTGTTAGTTGATCACAGCTGATGACAGTGGCTTGGTGTGAGTGTGAGGCAAGGCCGAGGTGGTCCCGTGACAAGAATCCGTTCACGCAGTTAAGGTTCTGGTCGAAGACGCGTTTCTCCTTTTCGTGTTCCAAATTTGTTCCCGGGTTAATAGCTACACGCCAAGGACCGTATTATACGCTGTTTTACCGATAACCAATACGCCGCGACACGATGCAGGAAAGGAGACGCGCTGAATTCGAGGCCAAACGCAAAAAACTCGCGGAAATACGGGAATTGAGGAAACAACGCGAGGATCGAGCGAAGACTCGGCATGTGGACCAGGAGAAGGTTCGCTCAGTGCGATACATGGGTTTTCGCTCAGCATCCAGAATAACTTGATCAACAGAGTCCCGTGAGGTTGCCAAGAACCAACAAGGACATAAATGAATATGTCTACGACCTATTCAACCCTCGAAGCTCAACGCCGAGCGGTGCAACGGCGCCTTCCACCCCTGGCTTTCGTACGGGTGAATTTTCACCTTCCGGTCGGCTGAGTGTCACTAGTGGCACTTCGGAGAGGCCACAATTAGATGCTTCCTCTAGCAGTCTTCAAAGCAAACCAGCCTCTTCCGGTCGGGTCAGCCGTGGAAGTGATACGGGATCAGATGTTTTGGGGAAAGGGACGATCGTGGCTGCATCCACAGTTGCACCAGAACCGTATAAGCCAACGATTGAACAATGAAGTGGCGGAGAACTAATGCCTTGTCGTCCATCTAGCACTGAAGTCCCCCCTACACCATCGCCAGTTAAACTTTCCCAACCAACCCCAAGCCTTGGCTTTGAGCCAGAGCTGACCTTGCTGCGTCCCAGGGATGAAAAAGTGCTCTATAACAAAGTCGTGCAGACCGTTGAACTCGACGAAGGCCCATCCGGGCCGACGGAGGATGAGATCAGAAAGCGGATACAAGCAGAAGTCGAGGCTGCAACTGCTGTTAGGGAGCAAGAATTGAAGCAGGAAAATGAGCAAATTGCCAAAGAAATCGAGGAGGAGATCAGAGGTATGATGAATTCCCGATTATATAGGGTGTCCGCTTGGTTTACTCTCAATGTTAAGAGTTGACCGAAGAGGAGAGAACTGCTATCTTTGCCACCCCCGAATTTCTTGATTTCGTGGAGGAATCGTCCAAAAGAATTCAGAGGGCGTTGAATGACTCGTATGACTATACCCAGGACTATAGATTAATAGGAGGTGGTGTGTCGTGAGTTAGTTATTCTTGATCTCCTGCAATATATCTTACGTATGATCGTCAGAACGGACAACGAAGGGAAGAGGGTCAAGGAAGTTTGCGCCTTCTTTGATGAGAAATGGGCCAAAAGTCGTTCCATCACCGACATTGATTGGTCTATTAAAGCAAGTGGCTTTTCATTTCATCAGAAGACGAGTTTACTTAGCTGAAAGCACCAATTCAAGTATCCAGAACTTATTGCAGCATCCTACAATAAGAATCCAACGGCTGTTAATGATCCCGATGGTCTTGTGTGTATATGGAACATCCACATGGTTGATAGACCGGAGTTTGTCTTCCACTCACAGGTATGACTCGATGAAATCCGACACCTTTCACATTTTCGCTAAACATTGACATAGTCCGATGTATTGTCGACCTGCTTTTCGCCTTTCCATCCAAATCTTGTCTTTGGAGGCACTTACTCTGGACAGATTCTGCTCTGGGACACACGAGCCAAACATCTCCCCGTGTTGAAGTCGCCTCTTTCTGCATCTGGTCACACATATCCTGTATATTCACTGCAGATGGTTGGGACCCAAAACGCGCACAATTTGATATCTAGTAGTACCGACGGGATGGTTTGCAGCTGGCTTGTTGACATGCTCGCGCAGCCTCAGGTAAACTCTTCCATTCAATTAGCTTTGATGGTTGTTGATGCGCTCTGCAGGAGACCCTGGAGCTTGTACATGCTGGCCATAATAAGACGAACGAAGTCGCTATAACAACGTTTGACTTTCCGGATAATGAAACAACTACATTTTGGGTTGGTACAGAAGAAGGCAATGTGTATCAAGCCAACAGGTACGATCGTGCCGGATCAAAGGCTGGTCTCAACCAGCATGACATCTACAAAGGACACTCTGGACCAATAATGGGTCTTCATTTCCACCCACTGGAAGGATCGATAGATTTTTCCGATATCTTTCTGACATGTTCTGTGGACTGGACCGTCAAGCTGTGGAAGGCAAAAACAACAACGAAACCATCCACGAGTGTCAATGTCATTTCCCCTTTATATTCATTTGAAGAGGCTGATGATTACGTGTATGATGTACGGTGGCACCCTCACCATCCTGCCGTCTTCGGATCCGTCGATGGGTCTGGTCGCTTTGATTTGTGGAATTTGAACACAGATACCGAAGTACGTTTCATACTTTACTTCTTTTTGATGATCTTCTGCTCACATTTTTGGCCAGGTTCCCATCATCACCACGAATGTCGGAACAGGCCGCGCCATCAACAAACTTGCATGGGAACGTAAAGACGGACGGCGTGCAGCGCTGGGCTGCAGTGACGGTCGACTTTATGTCTATGATGTTGGTGATGTTGGTGTTCCCCGCGATTCGGAATGGGTTGATCTACAGAAAACCATCTCTAACATTGTTGCTGGAGGAACTAGTCTGCGGATAACCGGAGCGGCAGATGGGGATTCGCGTCCACTAAGTGCGAGTCTGAATGGGAGATAAACTCCATACCTCAATGATTTGCGGGCGTTACTGGTGCACTCCAGATTTCTTCGATTTGGTCACCATTGATTGGCATGTTACTATATACGCGGTACAGTAACGAAACGATTAAATGGCTCTAGGGATGTGTATGAGATGAAGTGTGTGAGCTGAGCTTGAATAAGTGTCAAGATGTAGCATCGGAGTCGGATAAATCCATCAACCCCCCGGCATCGTCTCGGAGGGTTCGAGACCATCTTTGGGGCAGCAGTATGTTAAGTGTGTCCTGGAGTCACTTCAATGGAAACCGCCCCTGACTCACCCGATGGAAGAGGGACGAGAAGTTACAGTTCCGACAGAGTTTGTTTTAAGTAGGGGTCTGCCTGAGTTGGATGGCAGATGAATTTCATCCTCTCTTGTCGAGAGCTGGTCACCAGAGAACGAGAGGACTAAGGGTGGTTCTCCCAGAATAGTGCGTTTCTTCTTTTTCTTTGGCTGAGAGGCTTGCTCGCTATACATATCCAAAGATGAGGTCTCAGTAGTGGGCGAGGGTATATCGACCAAGGGCGGCCGGGACCCAGTGCGGCTCTTCCCAGACACCTCCCCTTGAGTCAAAGAGGTGGCGTCGGGTTCGGGGGGGAGATCATGCTTGTTTTTCTTCGTCTTTCTACGTTCCGTTCTTAACTCTCGCTCCGCCTCTTTCGTATCAGCAAGATGCCGCTCCTGTCCCAGCTTTAATCGTACCCGCATGGAGACCCCGAATTTCTCCAAAGCGTCTTCCTCGCCGCGATCAGGGAATTTGGCTACACCATATTTCTGGCTCTCCCGGAGCACAGAGAGCGCATCGGCCTCATCTAAGGCCAAGTCTTCCATAATGAGTAAACGAGCTGTTTCTGGTATCAAGACTCGAAGAAGGAAATTCTCTACATCTAGTGGCGCAAAGGAAGGTCGAGTCGAAAGGCCAGGAAATAAGTCATGCAATCCATTTGCGATTCGAACAAGCCCCCGCTCCCCGTAGCTGTTAATAGTATGAGACACAACATACGATTATAAATTTTGTGACACCCACTAGCCGGGCTGTGTTCTCGAGAAAGTGGAGAATTGGCCACGAGTGCTGTTCGTTGCCGCAGCACCAAACTGCTGTATATCTTTCTTTGCGATGTCAAAAAAATGCCAGCCCGATGGGAAGTCGATGAGTTTCTGGAGAGCAGGTTTCAGTTTCCATAATCGATTTGGAATAGCATCGAAATCGATTTCGGAAGGCCAGCCTTTAGCGATGCCTTCCGGAATGATGGAGGCCTCACTGCGATGTGTATTACACAGATCAATTATAGCTTCGAGTGGTGCCTTGAGACCTTCAGGATTGGTATAACGCTTGTGTGGCCAAGCTTTTCGTCGAGCCCGTGCAAGGAGGTTTGTCAGCTCTGCACTTGGGTCTGATGGCCAGGGCTCATCACAAAATGGGCATATTGTGCTTGGATCGACTAAGGAAAGGCGATTAATCCAACTCCTGTGCGTGTGGGGACAGCGAGAATTCACCCACTGGCGTCGCTTGTATCATAACTTATGTCCACTTCGAGCCCCGGTGCTAAGTGTGACCTGCGGGTCGTAAGCATCCAAGCGAGCCGACGCCGACGAACGCAGTACACACCCGTGAGCGGTCCTTGATTTGTTGAGTGAGGGATTGTCCGGCGGGACTGAAAGACCACGATTGGTCTCAAATGTTTGTTCCTCGCGTTCAGGGGTAGAGAGCGGGAACGGCTTCACGGCATTTGCGCCACCTTGCGATTTCACTGTCACGCACAGCTCACCCAACTCGGAAAGTGACCTGGTGGAAGGGGAGGTGCTCAATGGTCTCGTTCTGGGAGGGGTACATAGAACATCGAGGATATCCTTAATCTCGATGGTGTCTTCGGAGCTCGGTGAGGGAATCTCCCCAAGATCCATCGGAAATGGCTTCGGCCAGCAGCGACTAGAGTGTTCAAACAGGGTATCCAAGGGAAAAGGTTCAGCCTTGCGTTTCGACTGTACATCTGGCTCATTGGCTTTACCGACATCTAACGGAAACTCTGTGGGGACGTTCGGCAACGGTTCTGAAGAATCTTCCTCATCCGAACCGATATCCATGAAGGAAGATGTCGATTGTTGTGAGTTGGATTTGATGGAGACGGGAAATAACGCAAGGCTGGATGACGAGGTAGATACAAACGCTCTTTGTGGCACCGTGCTTTGTGCCATTTGACGCGTCTCTTGCTCAGCGATCTGTTTCTTTGACTTGGCGACATTTTTATATGTCTGGATGGGCGGGTTTTTAAACTGTGATCGAGCTGCGGGACTGGAAGAAAAGCCTGTCAGAAGCTTTGAGCCAGCGCGCGTTCCATCCTTAGGGCCCGAGATGTCCTGGGCAGCGACATTAGGGGGGTTCGAGCCAGGGGGGAGGGGTTTGTTTCCACGAGCAAAAGAATCAGATTGGTTCACCGGAAATTTCTGGCGCATCCGCTCCATGTTGTCGCCAATCTGTCGTATAACACCACGACAGAACGTTAGACTTAGCACTGGAGTTGAGCGAGAGCCGGTTGCACGCTTGTGGGTCGCGTTGCATCCGGGGATTCCTATACATATTTGGCCAACAGCGCCTCGGACGGATTTCCGTTCCGTGGTTTGAACCGCAATCGACTCACCGTACCTCCGCCATCGTGCGCGAAATAGTACGGGCGCATTAGTTCTACTCCTCGCCACTTGCCACCGAACATGAGGGGTGAAGCGGCCTCTACACCCAAAGCGTCAGTGTCTGGCATGTCGCCCTTCAGCTCGTGGAAAGCCGCTGCTACGTCAAAAATAAAAGGGACAATTAATAACGTCACGACAACCCTGGCCACAGTCCAATCTGATAGGGTGAAAAATGGCCCCAGACAGGGTAGCTTCCTCGTTCAGATCAAAGAGCAGTGGCTCCATGATCGCGCGCTTCGCCGTGAAGAAGAGTCCAAAGGACATCAGAGGATCGCTCTCTTCCCCGGGTGGGCAACGAAGAGATACTCAATCCCTTCTTTCCCGCGTGCGCCAGGTGCGTGTGAGAATGCCTCAAAACTCAGTCATCTTGGCGCTTAAAGTCTTGCTACACCAGAGTCATCTTTTACGGTGGAGGTTTTTGTTTCTGGATATGGTCCGTGAGATCGCACGATTCTACCACTTTGGTTCTGAGCATATAATGTTGTCAGCATATAGCCTACGCCCACCCGAATCTGCATCCCGATCTCAGAAAGCATTCATGAAACTAGCTAAAGGTAGACTTGAACAGACCCAGAATTAGACACACGACTCATAGTTTATGAAGGTTTCGCGACTCTACCCAAGGTACCACTGGATGTGGAGGGACTCCCAACAGCACGAACTTACCGTGTACCCAAACTCAGCAAATCCACTGAAGAGCTTTTGAGGCTCGTGGAACTTCCGCCTACACCCGAAGGAATAAACGATGAAATAGAAAAGAGTATTTTGGAGTCTCGCTCCGTACTATCTGACCTGTTAGAACCGCCGCGCCCTCATTTTGCGATCAGATCTGACACCGAACCACCTCCGGACACATCTCCGTGGACCGACGACGCTCCAGTAACAAATCCGAATCTCTACAAACATCGAGCATCATCAACTTCGTCTCTCTCCTCCACTTCGTCATCATGTTCCACCTCGTCGGGTGGCTCTCCGACCACATTGTCCCCTGCAGCTTCATTCGCCGGTATGGCGCCTCAGGAACTTATCCGTCTTCACGCGAATTTCGACTCCCGTCTTCAGCCCTTCTGGGGGAGTATCGTTACGAATCGTATGGTTCGTATCACTCTCTTTACAACGGTTGTATCCGGGCATCACCCAGATCACGGCCATGGTCCATTGGGGACCATAGACGTGCCGCTGACCGATCAAGGCTATTTCGGGCACTTGTTCCACATACCATACGACACAGTTTGCACTCATCCTGGAGGGGTTCACATCGCCTTTGGAGATTCTTCATCAGAACACTCACTGATCGCATTCGCAGAGCTACTTCCACCACCGCAGGATACGTTCCCGGCTCAATTCCCGAGAAACTTGAATGACTTCAGGCCAGCAGTTCAGAGTGCACTGCATAGCACGGCGCCAAAGGCTCAGATACCCATTCCGATCACCAATGCCCGGGTCCGGCTTATATCAGATATCGATGACACTATCAAGATTTCGCATATCCTGCACGGAGTTCGTACCGTATTCAGAAATGTATTCGTTCGTCATCTTGAGGAACTCTCTGTTCCGGGAATGGCGGAATGGTACACCACACTGAGCGATCGTGGAGTACGTTTCCACTACGTCGTGCGTAACTTCATCTCTTGCCCGTATTGGATAACTCAGAATAGCTGTTTGCTCAGTCCAATTCTCCATTTGAGCTACTTCCTGTTTTGTCGGACTTCTTCAGAGTAGGAGGGTTTCCTGGAGGCATGTGTATTTATTGTCTGATCATTATTCTCTTTCTTCAACTTGGATTAAACCCTTCAGGATCTCTAAAGCTCAAATTTTACGGGGGGAAGAGCTTGTTTAAAGGCCTGTGGGAACCGGCAGGTGAACGTAAGAAAGCTGGTGTATTGGAGGTAAGCAGAAATGTACGGTCAATGTGATGTAGTTTCCTATGTTTCCCATAGGTACTTGATAGGTTCCCGGAATCCAAATTTATTCTTGTCGGTGATTCTGGAGAACAAGGTCAGTATCGCGGAACCCTCATTTCATGATTGGAAATTCAAGAGCGCCCTAGACTTGGAGTTGTACACTTCCTTGGCCAAAGATTTCCACCTTCGTGGAAGGGATCAAATTCTTGGGATTTTCATCAGGGATGTACTTCCTGATTTGACGACGAGCCCAGACACTTTGCCTCTATTTTCTCCAAGGCCGCCATCTCCTGCATCGGAGCAGATACCTGGAAGCTCCTATTTCTCTCCAAATATCCCGCAGTCTCAATCACCAAACTCAGACTCTTTCGGTCTAGACAGCGACCTAGCGACCTCGAATGGGACCGGTCTGGACCGTAATGCCACTGTTCGCGTTTCACAACAGCCAGGGAAACAATCCCCTCCCCCTCCTCGTCAGGGCACTGGCTCCAATATATCAAGACACGGGACCATTACACAACAGACGCTTTCACATCAACCTCATAGCCCACATCCTCAATCTTCAGTGGATTCAACCATGTCAGTCTCCTCATGGGTATCCCACGCTGGGTCGTTCTACACGCAGAATCAAGTGAATCGCCCCAATGCGACGCTACAGAAGAAACGCACAGAACTGGATGCAAGGATTGCACGAGCCGTCTCGGGATTACCGGAACACGTTGTCTTCCGACTCTTTAAAGAACCAGAAGAATGCAAAGCTGAAGCTGACCGGCTCATCAATTCAGTGCTAGGCGATGCCAAGTCTTGAGTATCCGATGCATTTCGTTCGATTAGATGTATATATGTATTGTGTGGCGCAGATGTATAAATAGTAATATTAACCAGCAGATTTATTTTTCTCGATCAATGCATCGATTTCTTCGACAAATGAGGACAATTCCTAATTCAGTTTGATAAGCGCTCACAAAGCATATGAACGGCAGAAACGCACCGAACTGTCGGGTTCAAACTGCAAACCTAAGAAAGCACTCTCCCTGGCATCTTCAAGCTTTCCCAGTGCCAATAATGCTTTTGCTTTTCGAAAGTGCCCTTTACTCCAAGGTCTCTTCAGCTGGACGACAACATCGGCGTCAATCAATGCCCCAACAGGATCTCCAGCGGCAAGATACGCGGCAGAACGATTGCACACGACAATTGAGAGCTCCTCACGAGTAAGATTTGATGTTTCCCATGGGAATCGGGACGCGGCCAGGTTCGCGGCAAAGCCGTACTTGGATATAGCTTGTTCATGCTTGTTACGTTTGAATAGTTGCTAGTGGCAGAAAATGTGTGTGAGTGGAGCGTGTGGCGAGGGAACAACGTACATTTCCTTCTTCCTTCGCCTTTTGAACCAACGGACTCCTTTGGGGATGGACAACATGCGGAGGTGGTGGAACGGGCATTTCGGAAGGAAGAGACTGAAGTACTCGGGAAGTCTGGTTTAACATGGTGAAGTCTAGCCCGCAGTCCCCACAGACCTCCCTTCCATGAGAGGCGCACAGAGCAATTGCCTTGCCATCATCAGCGCCGAGCTTCAGATTCACAGGTCGAAATTGCGCATCTATGGCAGCTTGGACAGCAGGTTCTGGTGGGCTGACTTGCATCTGTTGCGCTTGTGGGTGCTGTTGTGACTGTTGCGGCTGTTGCTGAGGGTTGGGATGAGCATGACGTGGAACTTGTTTGCGTCTAGGGGGCATGATATAAACGCTCCCGAAAATTCAAGCGGCTCGGAGAAATAAATCCTTGCTTTAAAATGCCCTAACCGAGAAGCTAAGTGAGAAACAAAGAGGGAACAAAACTCTCTGGTACGGAGACGTGGCGGTTCGAAGCTGGAATGGGCTGCACAGCCACTCGAAAGTTGGTGTCTTCCCCACGGGTGTCACTGAGTCTATTCCAATAGAGGCTGGTAACCTGCCTAGCCACTGAGCAGGTATGGTAATTCCAAGCCGGCGTTACGCTACCAAACCAAATTGGTGGTGTGGGCATCTGTCAGGCGGGCAAACGGCCCGTCGAAGCAAACACGACTCTGGTTGGAGCAGGTAATTGTGCTAGGCGAACGGGGCAGGGTGGATCAAACGACTTTTTCATGAGGAGCTTCCGCGAACAGGTGACCCTGACGTACCAGAGAACACTGTAATGCTTGTCCCCTTATTCTGTGGTTTTTGTCTTTCCGCAGCAGCCATAACGAATGAGAGACTAATTACGCGTACTGTTTCCGTTTTCCATTTTTCTTTGATCCTCAGCTAGTCTCGTGCAAGGGATTGCAACCACGGGAATCATACATCCCCTCCCCATAACTCTCTGCCTCACTCAATGGTACTCCCAACTTCCCGGGGATCCTCGCACAGACCTGACTTGTCGCTTGTCGGCGCGCCTGCGGCTACGCTATGCTCCAAATCACCACAGTTGCCTTGATTGTACATTTTCGCCTGTGGGCGCTTTACTTCTCGCGAACGTGGCTTTTTCAATACACCATTCACTCAACCACGACGATTTTCCCATTCAAAGTACTCACATGTTGCCAGTCTTCATTTCGCCCACTTTTTCGTCGCACGACCCATAGGGGGTTTGATCATAATATGATGTGCTGGCCCGGAAATTGAGAAACATTCATCCCACGTCTGGCACAATAAGCGTGTATGTATCATTTTATCCTTCGTACCTGTGTCATGCGGTGGGCGTATGACGGAGTGTGAAATGGATTACACTGGACAATCAGAGCAAACCCCAATTTATGGTCTCCTGGCTGATGGATTATGACGAGGAGATCCGCGCGGCAACCACGGCGCCAGTATGACGCCACGAGGCTGGTGTTCTCACGTTCTCACGCCCGCTTGTCCAATCCCGATCACCGGAAACACAATGGGCGAGCTTACGACGGTGCACATATGCTATGTCCACGGTGAGTGTTGATGATTCGGAATGGACAGTACGTAGATTGATGCCTGCGCAAGGTTGGAGAGGGGATCATACATCTTTTCAGGCAAGTATTTGGGCACATCTGCAAGTTGCTTGATGCGTTCTATTGCAACTATCCGACAGTCGTTCCCGACCGATCTTCACTCGTACTTGGAGCCATCGCTCCCAGGAATCAATCTGAATACTCACATATACCCAACATACAAGGCCAAGCGCCCCATTGCAGATGCTGTTGCGAAGTTGCTGCGGTGGTACGAGAATTTGTACACTCTCCTATACGGCAGTGACTTCAGCTGCCCCCTGTTTAGGATCGATACTCTCACACCAGGAAAGGTCATTTTGACTGGACATTCACTTGGTGGATACTTGGTAGCAGACGCTGCAGTCATCAATGCGAGACAGGCTGATAGTGTTCATCCCATCATTGGCATACTTGCAATGGACGTCCCCTATCTTGGAGTCCGTAAGCTAACCATCATCAACTTCCGTCACCAAGATATCAACCTTCCTTATCTTAGACCCGCATGTTATCGTGAGCGGACTAGCGTCACTCTTTGCGGGTGAGAGGCAGCCCGAAGCAGAAGTCAACGACACCACGAAAGTGGACATTGCACCCCGCCAATCTGTCGACGATGTTTCGCGTACGCACCTACGGAGCCTGCACATCTTACCGTGCACATTTCACTAAAGAATTTTGTTCTAGTCAATAACCACCGATCACCAACTCATTCACAAAACAAACGTGCCGCATCGCCTGCAGCATCCGAGTCAGAAATTTCTAAAACTTTCAAATTCTTGAGCCGTCACGCACACGACAAACACCCCTTCAGTGCCGCGTACCAATGGGTGTCGGATTATTTCGAGTTTGGTTCTGCTGTTATCGACAGAGAGGGCCTAAATGAGCGTTTCACAGCTCTCACAAAATGGGGTGGCGATTGGGTGCATTTTTACACTCATACCGTGCCGGAGGGTGACGAGGGTACAAAGTGCTCCATCACATCCTCCTTGAAAAGCTTCGAACTTCCACACATCGGTGGTCTCAAACTGGAAACTCAGCCATTCCATCCAGAGCACCATGCGGGGCCAGCTGCGGAAGGCAGCGCCTTGGAATTCGATTTATTCAAAGCCTCTGCGGCCAAGGCCAAGGCTAAGATGGAAGCATTGTCAGCCAAAAAGAACAGGAGCGGACAGACCCATTTAGAAGTTCCGAGCCCTGAGCGTTGGCCCTCAGAAGAAAGCACTCAATTCTCCGATGTGTCACAGCGCTCAACTCCCCCAACCCCATCCACACGAAGTTCGTCCTCACAGTTATCTCTGTCGAGACCACCGTCCATTGCATTAGACGAGCTTCCTCCCAAGCAACCGCGAAAACATCTGCATCGCTTCATCGTTTTGCCCTTGGCTCTAACACCCCAGTGGCAGTCCGTGCCTATAGCGGGGGTGGATAACGAAGTTGCTGCTCACACTGGCATCTTCTTCCGACACCAGAACCTGGAATACGACAGTTTTGTTCCGAGAGTGGGCTCGTATGTAATACGATGGCTAACGTATGTGAACCAGGAAGCCATGATCTGTGTTCACACATGGGCTGATCATAATGTGCATTCCAGACAACGAATGTCCTTCGCAAAGTGACGATCGGAGCGCCATTGTCATGAAGCAACTTGTCTGGCATTTGCTGTGTTGGGAGATCATAGGGCAGCAGGACACTCGCAGATTTCCGTGCACCTTGTCAATTTGAATAACTTAAAGAGCTCCAGGTTGCAGTCAAACAGACGCAGTGACACTTGGAACTGTATAGTTGTATGATATTTGGACCGATGTAACACGGGAACCATAGCTTAGGAACCTAGCTGACAGTAAGGTACACAAACTTGGCACTGTCGAAGGGAATACTGGTGATAGATAGACGGCCATGAAGTACCGTACATGGATGGTGATCGTTAACAAGGTGGTGCTCGCGAAGCGAACCCCAGCGTGACGGTGGAATGTCGGGCCCGCGTGTGTACCTGGATGCACCGACACGGACGAGTCGGGTCCAATAGCAATACTCTTGGGACGAAACAATAATTCATCTTGAACTCGCATGTAGACAACAGTGAGTGTGTCGAAAGCTCAGCTGTTGGACAATAATCGCGGCCCATAAAAAGAATGAGTTGAGGAAAAAGTGAAAAGCGGGGCCAACCGAGGGATTTTATCCTCAGCTGGATTTGCATCCGTTGATTTAGGAGCGACAACAATCTTTTACGCTTGGTCTTCTTGTTGATAGTCGCAGACGCTGAAGGCTTAATTAGGAGCCCATTTCTCGGATTTTTCGTCTCTCCCTACATTTTCTCTTCATTGTCTTGGATCTTGTAAATAATTGTCTGGCGCTAATGAATCGCTGGTTTCTAGTATAGCAATGCTCAAAGTCGCCTGTACGGTTTGTGGAGGGAAGAGTCGATCACAGTCGTAGATATATATTGGGGGAGGTATATGAGGCCACCCTTTGTTTGAATTGTAAACTAATCCTAAACCCAAAGATCCGGTCTCGTGTCCTGTAGGTCTGCTGGCCCAAGGGCCATATGGCATGCACCCCGTCTGGAAAGGCTAATTGGTGGTCACATCCAAGATCTCATCTTTCTCCCCCTCCAGCTCCTCCAAGGCAGCTAGGTGCTTCAGTGTCGACTCACGCAGCTCATCCAGCTCCTCCCGGGTCTTAAAAACGCATGAAAGAGGGAATCGCAAGGCGCATTGTAGCCGGAATTCCTCGTGGCGTGGTGATTTCAACGTTGTACGCAAAAACTCCAGAGCATCTAGTCCAGTCTACCACGGAATCGGGAATAGGAAATGTGAGCTCATCCGTTGATATAACTGCAATACAGGATCATCGCTTACCTGGATGGAGAGATGTGTTTCTGGTCGTAAGAGTTGAAATGTAAGCTCCTCTGCTTCGACTTGGGAGGACTGTTGCCCACGAATGAGCACCAGGGCCTGCGCGGCACCTAATGTCGACCCAGGTGATACGTTGGTTTGCATGAAAGCAGAGTTAAAGGTTTCTAAAGAAACATCGGCTGGGAAGATTTGTAATAGCTCTTCTGTGATCACTGTCTGGACGGGTGCTGGGAGTTTCAAATTTGGTTGTTCGACTGCATATAAGGACAGGCTTCCTTAAATCAAAGGCCACGAAAATGTAAGCGGACTCACCGGCAAGCTTGAATTCTATCAGACGATAATGGACTCCTGGGTCGCCTGGTGATAGATTGCGAGCATGATTCAGAGCCTTCAGCGCTTGTAGATACTTCTCTGTTCATTTGCTAAATCATAAACCCGAGTGAACGAATGCAATGGGAGAACCTACTTTGTCGTATAGCAACATCGAAGGAAACAAGCCATGTGTCGAGGAGCTTTGGTCGGAGAGAGTGCAGCGGTAATAATCGTTTCCATGCAATCTCTAGCGGATCGGGAACAGTCAAGAGTTTTAATCCTTCAGGATCGTCATCCCTGACGACAGGAATATCTGTGTCATCTGTCTTAGGTGGTGTCGCCAGAGCTGTTTTAAATGAGCGGAGGTACACAAAGATCACCTAGACAAGTTTACCTTTCTTCGAATCCTCCTGCGGCTTAATCTCAACGTTCTTCCCCCTTCTACCCGCCCTTTTCTTACTATCGAGGGCTGCTGTAAGGGCTCAATGAGTGTGTACAATACGGGGGACTCCGCAACATTCTTACATGTTTGTGGGGCAGGTTTCGTTTCGTCATGTATTTGTACATATATCTGCAAAAAAAGTAGTGGGACTTCTAACGGTCAGTTCTGAAAGAAGTCTTACGAACCTTCGCCGCCGCAAGTGCAGCAGGAGCATAAGCAGGATGCGACCGTAAATTGTCTTCCATTTCAATCAGTCTATGAGGCCAAGATGTGTCGGCAAGGACACTGCGTTAATGAGTATGCAATACGCACAGTAGATAAGTGGTCATCGTAAATTTCCGCAAGGCATAGGCATGGAAATCGTATTGATCGTCCTCAATATCATCGAACGTCTTGGGCATATTTCCCATAAGCACATTGTTCCCTGGGATGGGACAAACATACCTTGAAGAGAACGTTGTAGCGCTTAAGTGCAAGGTTTAACTTTCCAGAACGATGCTGGGCGTCTCCCGCCTCTCTCATGTAAAATAGTGATTGCATTTCTTCTAGATCTGCTCCCGGTAGCGATGCAGTTTTCTTTACGAGCACAGAGGTTAGTCAAAAAAAATGGCGCTTCCAAAAGAATGGCAACCTTTGTGAACAATCCAAGCATTTTAATCGCTTCTTCAATATAGCCTGCCCGCAACAAATACTTCGCATTTTTGGTGTTCAAAAAACGGTCTTGAAGGTCGAGACGCCATGCAGAGGCCATGGTAATGCAAGCCTCAAAAGGATTCCCCGCACGTTTCAGGGCGCGTGCCTTTGCCATGTACAAATCAGGAAGAGCCGGTGAGTGCTCAATGGCTTTATCAGCCAATGCTAAGGCTCGAGGGATGGTGCTGGGATTGGTGGCATGGTGTTGAATGAGATAGTACAATACCCAGATGTGGGAAGAGGGTGGATACTCTATGGAAAGTTTCGGGTTAAGAGATGCGAAGCGGACAGGGATAGTAACTTGCCTTTGGAGTTCTCCAGGGTCTTTCTATATAAATCTTCTGCAATATCTTCTATGACTTGTCGTTTCTCACTGGAAACATACAAATCCTTGAGATCAGAAAAGAGCGAAGGTATGCCACGTGCAATTGCTGCTTCAAAATACGTTGCAACTAGTAGTCTGAACTCATCCCCTAGCCTCTATCAGAGGACGCCTGGAGTGTAGCCCACTACTTTCTTACCTGATGTTAACTTCAGCAGAATCCTCCGGGGTGCGATGGCTCTGGGAATCCGAGCTGATAGTTGATGGAGAACTTTGATAGCAGCAGTACGACTGTCGTTTTCAAGGGAATCTAGTTTGAGGTTGCAAGGTGAGTCCCCATTTTCTGCTACGAACGAAATTACCAACCCATGTCAATGCCTTGTGTCAATAAATAACGACGATAATGATCGTAAGATTCTGGATTGCTGTCGATGATGGAGAGCCAGGCCTCTCGAGTCTCGTCCGTCTTCCCAAGCTTGTGCAGTAGTCGAGCTACATACTCCTCATTGAGTACGAACAATGGACTTTGGAACAATCACAGACCTTTGAGGATAGCGGTCGTGGATTTGTCAATTATGGACTGGGAAACCACATTCTTAACGAGGAAGTCTAATGCTTCATCGTGGCGTTTCATCTCTTCCAGAATACGAACGTGGTACAACAGAAGTTCTGAATGTTCTGGATCACGAGGAGGTACATCCTTCACCGTTGCCTCGTACTGTTCCAGGACTTTCTTCGCAAAGTCCAGTTTTCCATTGAGATGATATGCTAAGGCTAACGCAATCCAGCTCTGGCGAAGATTGGCCCGGTACTTTAACAGGGTCTGTCGCGTCTCGACCAATTGGTCAAAGTGGCGCAACTGCGTTTGCATGTGGGCAGCATCTCTCAGGATGTTCAAATTATCCTTGGATACATAATCAGTGATATTCTAGGAAATGGGGCATGTTGACACAAACTTTCTCGAATTTAAGCGCTTGTGTGTAGCATTTGAGGGCTTCTGCGTAATTACGATCGGCTTTGTGAACGAGGCCAAGAACATGCCAACAAATATGAGACGTCAAGTCCATGCGAAGACCCTTTCGAACAAGCTCAATGCCTTCTTCTTTACGATTCAAGTTCGTCAGTATGAGACCTTTCATAGACAGAGTCTCTAGCACGGGCATATCAGCCGCAGCGAATATCTCAGAGGCATGAAAACGTACCCCCGTGGTCCGGGTATTTCTTCAATATTTGGTCCGCGGTCTTCAAGCCACGCTTCCATTGTCGCGTTTCGTAAGCTTGCTACAACCTGAATGAGCAAGAGTCGACTACTCATAAGAGCCCTCTCATCGCACCAATACCGATTTGAAGGACAGAGCCTCCCTTGCTGGCAGGGCACGGTTTTTAGATATCGGAGGGGCAGTTGAAGCTGCTTTTGACATGGTAGAATGGGCCGCAGGACGACGCGCGCTTGAACGGCCATTTCCGTTGTTCGCACGCTCTGAACCAAGCTAAATGGCAGGTAGTCGAAAATGGACATCGTGCCACCCGTACATACAGTAGTGCAAGATGCAAGTCGACAGAAATGAAAATGAACACAGACAAAGGTCATGGGCAAGAGGTGACAAAATGAAGAGGAAGGAGGGGAAACGCAAGAAAGGCCTCACACTCGCAGTTAGCATGGCCGAATGTATACAGAGAGGGTGGATCTGAAGACTCGCGCGAGGACACGCGGCGCAACGCAAAATACAAGGGCGACTTGTTTGTAGACAATGCAGAACCCAAGGCGCTTACATAGGTCGCCGGCCCTATCGCTGCTAATATAGGACTTGCCAGTCCAAACACGAAGCTGATAACGCAGAGGGAGACGGCCCTGCTCACAAGCTGAGTTACGCGCGTCCGACGCAATGGAAATTAATGAATATCTGTGTTGTCTGCTCGACACTTCAAAAATGCGGGATTGTTCAGCATCATCTCAAGTTGCGTATCACCGCGCGATTATATTAGAGTGATGTTATTAAACCAGGACTAATGGCTCCATGCAGCAGGTACAGGAGTAAAAGGTCTTCATGTCCCTAACTTGCGTAAAGGCATCAACAATCCAGGCTCGATTGAGATGACTTCGATTCGAGTTATTCCCTCCCGATCCCAATCGAATTTTTGAGGGTTGCTGAAGGCGCAATTCATTCGGATTTGCCACGCTACGGAGCCACTTCTTATTCTCTCCTCACTGCTCATTTCTGAGGCTGAGGTGAGGCCTTTCTTCAGTACTTACACTGACGGCCTTTCGATTCATGGCCACAAAGAAGGGGGCTTCCTGGGAATGATGACGAATTTTCGTCCTGTATCCTCAACTACTTACATTCTCCATGACAATCGCTTTAGTCCATCGAAGTGCACTCGTTAGTCACTCCCAACGCTTCCGAACGCATCAGCGCATCAAAATTCTAGCCGAAAAATTCAATGATGCGCTCGACGGATGACACACGCCACTGAGCATTAGGCTTAGGCTGATTATTTAATCCAACCCAAAACGGGAAATGAGTTGGCAGATAGTTGTGGCCGAACCTCGTTGCTCATACTCAAGTCACCCGTTATCGGGCTTCCTCCCAGCGTCTCACACGTCCAGCCCCACTTCCAAACTTCGGCCTGTCGAACTCGGAGGGAACTTCACGCGGTCGGTGTTGGGGTCCGCTGTGGAACCACGTGCAGCTCTCTCTGGCGAGTTCAAGTCGGCGCAGCAGGATTAAGGTTTCCTACCTTTCGTACACAGACTAAATGGTAGCACCTAGGGGCTCGAGGGCTAAAATGTGCGGCTGTTCTTCATGGTCGAGTTCTAGCATCACAGTTCGGAGTGGATTTGGGCGCTCCGCTACACTCTGCCATTCATAGAGTTTGATTCGGCGTCTTGTTTTCGGGAATGAGAACACGCTACTGGCCTGAGTCACGGGTTGATCCATTTTATTGTCCACATTCTCGCGACTTTCCCTAGCATTACTGGTCCTTATTAACTTTCGGGTGCGATTACAGAAGCCACAGCAGTCCCTGGGGAAATAGATGCATCTAATGGCCATCTATCTCCATCCAGTCCAATGTAGGCACGACTCCAGCCTCTATGACTGCATCATGCCTAACGGAAGGACGACCTTTGAAGCACAAACATTGTGTCCCAAGCTGACGAACCCGCCCTTTATCTCGACCTCTTTGCCTCATTTAACCGCCACTCGCACCCGAGTACCCCTAACTACCCTTCTTCCCCGCAGGCACGCGATTGAGGGTCCGGCCGCGGTATTCAATTTCCGGAATTTAGTCCTGCGACATCATGCTGAAGGCATAACTGATTTTTCATTTCCCATGGTCAGGTTCGTGTATTGTTGGTGTGCCGATAAATGCAGCGCGCAACGAATATCCCCCCTCAAGCTCTCAAGCACCAATGTCTGCATCGGCCTCAAAGATCCCTAAGAAACGACATGACTTACTCGAGTCGGGTCTTGCATGCCTGGTGTGTCGCCACAGGAAAACTGTGAGAAGCGAGATCTTCATGAATGCACGGGCAACTCTGACTGGCACATCATCCTTTATAGAAATGCGACGGTGTAAGGCCGGCGTGTGGACGATGTCGTAGACTAGGGAAGTCATGCGAGTATGCGGAAGAGACTTCTAGGGCCAGGGTTAGAAGGCTAGAAGAAATCATTCGAAGCCTGGAGAGCGAGATAGCCGCCCTCAGATATAATAACCGGACTTCGCCTATTCATGGCGTGGAGGGTGCTAGAGCCTATTTGGGCTCACCGAGCCCTCGGCTCGCCATTTCGCCTCAGCTCGAGAGGATGCAGGAGCCCCATATCCCTGAGGCATATCCCAGGACCATACCCATATTCCCTGCGTCAATTCTTTACTCCAATATTGCCTTCGCATCTGCAGAGCAATCACTTTCTCATCCAGGAGAAACCTATCCAAGAGTTATTACTCGTGCGGAAGTAGAACGCGCTCTGGCGAATTGGGACATCCAGGTAGAAATGCCACACCGACTCAAAGATTATCTGTATGTGTGCCCCGTCCAGCTCGCACTTCCCTTCTGGATCTGACTGCACTAAATATTAAGCCTTCGGATCTTTTTAGCACACCGTTTCCAGTTCCATTCTGGACCGCTTGCTGCAAAGGTGCTTGGAGGTATACGTTCTTCTCCATCGGATGGCGGGGCCCTTCAAGTTCACCCCTCCCTCGTGCATTCAATGTGCCTCCTTGCTTGTCATGTTGGTGGGGGCTCTATGTCGTCACATGAAGCCTTCCTCGTAGCCCGGACGCGCTCGGATCTGGAGATGTCGCTGGCTTTCGTTGATCGTCTTGTGGATTTCCTCCTCGCTTCGACTCTGCTTGGGGTTTACTTTACCCGCACTCGTCGGTATCCCGAAGCTTACACGACCTTATCTGGCGCCATTCGGCTTGCTATCGCTTGCGGGCTGCAAACATTGACCAGGGCTCAGTATCAAAGTGATACCGTAGGCTTACTGCCTCCGCCCAGAAACGATTTCGAAATGATTGAACAGAGGCACGCCTGGTTCGCGTTGAATGTGGCGGATCGTATACTCACAAGAGAATCAGGACTGCCTAGCTCGTTGCCTGAGGATGTGAGTGGCCAGTTCGAAAACGAATCATTGGAATTTGACCCTGGCCACTTGCACATAGGCGCTTGCTGAGATCCATAGATCCGCATGTGGCATCAGCTTTCAGAATTCCCCCGCCAATGCCTTCCAAGCCTCTAACTCCGACTGGATTCACCACTGGGCCTTAACTGGCACGTCCCTCAACCCCGGCATATTCGACGTCAGTAGAGAAATGGATCATGTCTGTCTCAGAGCTCGGCTGGAATTGCTTTTTGAGGGTATACGACTCCTCCGTGCATATAATGGGGGTATGTCTACACGGAAACGATTGACACACTCTTGACTCACCACCTGGTAGGAGATGCTGAAACCTGCTCCGCGTGGGCTCAAGCGTTCCATTCTGGAAAATATTCAACTTTCTCGAAGCATCTCTCTGCGTATATCAAGAAACGATGCCGTCATTGAATAGCGACTTTGGCCTCATAAATGGGGAGTGCAGCGACCTTGGATTTGGTCGCCCAATTCTCCAATCTCAAAATCCCAACGGGGTGACGATTTTCCCCCAGAAGCCTAACCCTGCCCTTTTTTCGGTGAAGATAATTGTTTATGCGGCGATGATCAGCTTGCAAAATGTTCTGCTCGAATCCCCTTGTGCTGTAGCCATATCTGGAGGGGGGGTAATCACTGAGGCGCGCCAAAAAGCTGTACAGGCGGCGAACGGGATGGCGGCGTTGCTCAAGCTTGTAATATCCCCGTCCGCGAGCGTGACGGGTCAGAGCCAAACGGAGGCCGTCTACTCCCCTATTCCTACTGTCTACAAAGATGTCTCGCTCTTGGTGGGTGTCTTACAGATTTTTGATGTTTCATTATATTTAACCCAAACTTTCCAGCCTCATGTTTTGGACGCCTCTGTCGTGATGGCGCACGAGATCCAAAGATGCCATATTTCTCCCACCAACGAAGCCGAGCCTGGCAGGCTAGTAGGGAGCCTTGAACTCTTCCGAACTCTAGTGATTGTACTGCGGGATTTAGGGGCATCTGATCCATCGATATCGATAGGTAAGTTTTATAGCGTCGCCTTTCTGCACATGCTAATGAGCCCACCAATAGGCGATGAAGTACAAAGGCTCATCGGGGTCCTCCCTGATCGCATTCGCGCATTACTAGATTTGTCGCCGCTTGCCAGCATGGGACATTGCGGAAGTTGAGCTACATCATATGTAATATAATTACTTATATCGTGTGTAGTGTACCCTTATGCAGGATTCCACAGCTTTGACATAACATAAAGGCGGTGCTTTCGGTCAGTAGCTCGATTGAGTGGCCATGTTATTCCAGGCAGTGGAGTTGAGAAAAGGAGATCCTGATCGAACAGACGTGAGAATCTTCGACGACCCCCTGCTGGACCGTCCAAAGTGGAAACACAAGAGACACTGGGCTACGCTACAGCTCAAGAGTGACTGGAAAGCCACTCATCTAAACACACAAGTGACCGGGTATCGGGACTCCTCGCAGTTCCCCACGTCTCACTTTCAGCCTTTCGGACTCGGAGTGAGCCTTACGCGATCTATGGAGGTCCGCATTATATTAGAACCGAGTCAGTACTGTATGCTCCACTATATACTCTACCACCTCTTAATTCGGCGTTTTGTTTTCTGTAATGGGGACACGCTGCTGGCCTGATTAATTCATTTTCTGTTCACTCGCTCTTAGTGGGTGTCTTACAGATTTTTGGCGTTTTCACCAAGCCTCAGATCAGGAAACTCAATTTCGCTCTCACAGCTCCCAGAGCATTGGAATAGTGTTCCACTGTCTCCCAGGTACTCTCAATCCTTCCTGAAAACTTACTTTCTTTTGAACATAATAATTCGATTTATACGGGGTCGGTGGTGTGTCGGGGCTATATACCTGGGGTGCCCCGGAGAAGCGTTAGGCGCTAACGGGTTCCAGGCTAGACCTGGCTGACAAAGCCTCAAACTCACTAAGCCGAGAAGTGTGCAGAAAAAGACGGAAAAATTGTGGGCTGAGGGTGGGGCTACCTGCTGGGAGCCCCACAACTCCTGTAGCCACAGGAGAGAGTTGCCTGCTCTGAGGATTGCCGAAAGCCGGGCGACTTGCGTTCACCTTAGCTTGTACTGTTGATTTGTTATATTTGTCTGTTAGTAAACATGCCGGTCCCCAAAAATCTCGAGGGGTTGATAGGGCTCATGGTTATAGTGATAATCCAGGGGACCATGGACTTAAGTCTCATGTATTCCCTTGAGCACCCGCTCGAGACCGGGTTGCGTAATGCGCGAAAAAAATACCGAATAAGGAATTGAATGCAATTGACAAAACGGTTGGTGGCATGATTGAGTACAGAAAAATTTGCGGATGAGGCCGGCGTCAAGTCAGGCTCGCGTGGTGCATGAAGTGTTCTCCGATCAGACGCGGGCCTCGCAACGCGTATTGGTAGTATCTCTACCTCACGACAAGCGTCATCTTCCATTGCCGCGTCCAAATGATCGTTTTTGAATCAGTCTAGCCGGCATCCTTAGTGGGGCAATGACGCAAGGAAAGGGGATGCAATGGGCTCACGCTTCAAATAGATCCAGTGTTACGGGGTTCGATAGGCCACCTTCCAACGGCTTGGTGGGCACCCAAGTCGATAATGGAGTCTCACCCTAAATGCACACTGTAAGGAAGAAAAAGCGATGGATTAACAAGACCATTGCTCACCGACTGATACGATGCCTCCGATACGTACAATAATAAACCGTCGGTCGCAATACCTGTTTGCAGAGCCCCTTCAGCTTCCACTTCCATGGACCCATCGGCGATCTTGTTCCCGCTCACAACGCTATCCGTTTCCATCCATCTCCATCTCATCACTTCCAGCCCAAGATGTCGAAGGCAACGCAGGGGGCAACTTTACCTCGAACGACCTCGTCATCTTCGCAGCCGGGATCACAGTGGTCAAAAACATCTCCATGGATATTGGGGGTGTGTAATACGGAACCGGCAAGAAAACATATGGATATTGAAACGTCAACGGTATCTCCCGTTCAGCCTGTGCCATCGATGCAAAATCAAATTCCATTGAGGCTTTCTGGGTCGATTTCAGATTTTTTGGTCTCTTCCGAAAACGGGATGGTGGCAATGGTGTTATTTCCGAGATTCTCGAGTCCCGCCACCAGAATCTGTTACCCAAGCAACAGTATGAGCTTAACGATCGAAAACGGGTCCTGCAATGAGACGGTACCTAAAATTAGCTTCACAGTCTGTGAAATCCTTACCGTGCCACCGTAATATGTCCAGCACATGAATAATCCCATTGACTTCCCAGTTTGCATCCAATACGCAATCGAGAATCGAGTTCATGGGTAAAGGCGAGGGGAATTTGAGGAACCTTGCTCCCTTTAAACGGGAAAACAACTGTGTAGAGCTAGCTACCACCAGTCAATCATGAGAAAAGACCCAAGGAATGGCATCACATCCAGCATCGCACCTGAGTCCTGTAATCCTTTCCTGAATAGGTCACAGCAAGACACCGTTTCCCAACCGGTATCGGTGCTAGCGCTACCCAGCCCGTCTCAAGGTTGTGAGGAAGCCATCGTGTTCTCCATGTGAGACGCAACGTCAGCTCTGTTCCCGCGAATAGCCAAGTCAAAAACAGGACGCTCACCATCCATACGAAGAACTCCTTCACCCGTTTGAAGCTCCAACAGCTCAGCAAACATACAAAACATCTGCGTATCTACGATTCTTCCTCCTTCTATTCCTCTTCCCTTTAAAAGCTGAGGACACCTCGCCTCCCGCATCCGCTGCCGTCGGCTTGAAGGAGAACACTATCACCGCTAGGTTGCAGCATGCTCTGAATGGCACTAGCCCATCTACGGTACCTCTCACATGCTTCTTCTTTCGCACATCCATCGCACTAATTTCGAGGCGTCCCTCGTCATTTTCCTCATCGTCACTATCTTCATCCTCCTCATCCTCATTGCCAAAGAAAGGAATGCCATACTATCAATATTCCTCGCCGCGTTAATCCGTTCTCCCGGCGCTGCCTATCCATAAGAATACCACAAAACTCGGTCATAAGGACATAACTCGCCGATTTCTGTTCTTCCAACGCACGGTGACGCCTCTCGTCTTGCGTCAGAGGTCTGGTAGACGGGCATCTTGAACTCAGACGCCCTTCGTAGCCCGCCCGCTTGATGTGAGGCACAGGACTTCTCCTGCAGTAAACATTATTTGAAAGACGTCTCAGCGCAGCAGCGCTGGCCCAACGACAAGTCTGGAAGTTCAAGTCGAGAATCGAGGAATGAATACAATGGATGAAACTCGGCCAACTCCGCTACGGCCGAGCCAAGTCTGACTGGTAGTTTCAGTCTAATAAGTATACTATAGAACCTGATCACCTGCCTAGTCGCTCGGTATTCCACTGCGAAGGGGGCCAACTAGTAAAATTATACCGCGTCGTATTAATTTGTCAGTTACCCTATCGATTACCCTATCGATCGGCGAGAATTTCAAATTCCCGCCACACCACCTGACTCAACGTGAATGAACAGCGTTTTACAATTTGATATGTTGAGGGAGAGACAAGGATCACAAAATTTCGTTCCGTCACAGTGGGGTAGAGGTAACCTGGATCGTTGCCACTTACATAGTCTGTTCGATCCGCCCCGCGTTCGATTCGCGGCTGCGACAAGTTTTTGCTGCTCAACACACTGTCCCGTGGCCACAGGGCATATCTGTAACGTCTGCGCCCGCACCGATCTGAAGTCCGATCGGAACAAATGTCAACTATGATACAACATGCTCGTTTGAAAACAAAGCCAATAAACACATTGTATTATGTAAAAGGGCACCTTCCTCCGGCGCCGACGACGGAAACCAGCGGAAACCAGCGAGGCTAAGCGCATTCATTCCTTATACCCTTCGTCGCGCGCCCCTATGGTGAATATCATTATTTACCCTTTGAGGGCTAATTGTGTCCATCATTCGTCCTCTGATACCGATTCGTCTGGCCGCTGGGGTCTCTCCCCCCGCATGAGGCAACTCAATGGCATCTTGAGACCCACCGGGCATCTGCTGCGACCAGGGACCATTGTTGCCACCACGACCTCTCGACACCACTGAATCATCCATTGCAAACGCACTAAACTCATACTCGCTATCCGAATCATCCTTCAATGAGTGCGGGTGCTGGGCAGCACCCCCAGACTTGGGCGTCGATTGATGTAAAGGCGACTCAAAGTCTCCGTGAGAATGAGAATGTGTATGATGGACCTGATGATCACGACGGTTCGGGGTCGTAGTGCCACTGGCTGCTGTTGTAGTCTTATACGAGTGCTGGCCTGCATAATGATCGTCGTGATCTCCGTCTGCCTCCTCGAAATCGTCGCCATACTCATAAAATTTTGATGGAGGGCCTCAGCGGAATGGAACGGCGAACCACCAAACAGATCCACGAAAGGTGTCGGCGGAATGCTTCCACCAAATTGGCTGTCATGTTGGGACGTGTTACTCCCTCGTGAGACGTCTTCTGGTCCGTTGTTTGG